CATCGAAAATCGTTGAAAGACGGGCCCGTGTGTTTCACCATTTGCGTTCCGAAATATCTGCTTGTCACATATCTTGCTACTTAGAACTTAGATGAACACGAAAATACCCTGGGTTTGGAAATCTCGGACAAGTTTACCATAATTTGCAGAGGGACTGAGGCGTCAACCGCACGAGGAATCAAAGGCCCGGAGGCCCCGCCGGACGAGAGGCCTCCCGAGAGCCATAGAGGCGCCTTCGAAGGCCCTGGCCTGAGGCGCCTGTTTTGAAAGACGATCATTGCTTGAAGTTTGCTCGATACACCACAAAGATGTACAGTTGCCAGTTTGCAAAGACGTGCTTAAATCGCTTTCGTAGGGAACAAGTCTCGAGTCATTCCCAAAGTGGGAACTGTACATGACATCATGATGATATCTCCATATACATATGTGTATATATATATATATATATATATATATATGCAAAATAGATAAGCAAAACACACAGATTAAATGGCATTAGCGCACTGTTTTGCTGACAACATTCTCGCCACATAAACATGTAAAAAATGCAAGTATGAGGTCATTGGAGTAAGCTTCTTGAAGGCCTTGTCACCTCTTGCACGGCTTGTGATTTTCATGCAGGACATTCGTTTTCGCGTTGTTGAACGGAGTGATGAGTAATCGGGGCCATAGCACCCAAATGAGAGTGGCCAAAACACATCCACACCCTCACGCTACATGGAAAAAAAAACCTAACCGTTCAGGAACTATGATCCAAACCTCGCACAAAAAATGATAGGTGGCATCCCCCAGGTGAAAGCCGCTCCCCCACAGCCAGAGCCTGTACATGTTATGGCTCAGAGCAGCGGGCGGGAGGCATGCATTTTAGGGGCGAATTAGGGGTGATGGGTTCCAAACCAGCCAAATATCGGAAAACCAAGAGACAACACACGAAACTGACATGGAATAGGTTATTCAGAAGACTGGTTCCAAAGAACCCCCAGCCCTCAAATGTGGGGGAAACCCGGGCTTTTGGCAACACGTCAGAGGAATCGACGCATCAGGAGCATCTGGATCTTCGATAGTTAGGAAGTCTGTCCTCCCACTCAAGATCGTCGTCGTCGTCGTCGTCGTCGCAGTATTGGGAGTAGTAGTCGTCGTCGTAGTGGTGGTGGTAGTAAACTCTCCACACGGCCTGCGCCACAGCTGCGAGGTGACCTACAAGGTGTTTGATCTGGACTGACAAGTCCAGAAAAGAGGGCTCTCGTTTCGGAGCGCTGCCTCTGAGGCGCTGGTCGGAGCCGACGAGCAAAACGGTGCCATCACCGAGGCCTCGCCGATCCAGAATTCCCCAAACTTGCAAAAACTCCCAAAAGCGACCTGCCGCCAGCGTTTCGCCGTCGGGCGCATAGGCGATCGAGTGCCTTGATTAGCAGTCTTCCTTACATTCAAAATCTGCGTGAAACTGAAGATGGGCAAAGCGGCACGAAGGGCGGGTTGAGCAGCTGCGGTCCGCCAGTTGATGTGGCAGACTCCTGCACGGTTTCCTTTTCGTTGCTTCTCGCACTTAACATGTGCAAACTCTCCTCCCCAACATCCGGTTGCATCTGCACTTTGCGCCCTGCCCGGAACGAATTCAGGTGACAGACGAACTGCAAGGAGCGTGTCGTCTGGGAATTACGAATGCCCCACAATTGTAACGTCTGCTGCATGTCGGCCACTCGCTAACACACGTCACCCTCCGGCAGGCCGCCAAGCAGCTGTTGGCGGCCAACCATTATAAAGGACGAACCTACACATCCGCCGAAGCGAAACTACAGATGCACTATTGCGAGCCTCGTCCTGATCTTTGCCAGATGACCTCAGCAGGCAAAAACAATAGACGAGACTGGGAATGCCAACAAAGAAGACCAGAATAGGGGCAAGGTTTTGACAAAACTAATCGGCAAGAAGCTGTTGGTTGAAGCTGCAATTGCGGGAGGAGAATAAATTGAACATTGTTCCTTCAGTCTCCCTCCGTAGAATTTTCTGGGTACTATGTACTTCGCCCTCCTCTGCGTAAAACCTTGCATGCCTGGTCTCATGGCTCCTGACCCACTGCATCAATAACCCCGGGCCAAGAGACAACTGCTGCATCCAATCCTCCGGATGCTAACGTCCACTCGCGGCCTGCAAGACATGGAAGGGGCGAAGGATTCACAAGCACTACCGCCACAAATTCTCTGAGGCCCCACCTGGCTTCCACGCCACGGTGCTGCAAATGTTTTCGTGGCCATTTTTTCCGCCCAGGATCTTGTCCACTCTCCTCAGGCTATCGTATGGCATGCTGGCCGCCGGCCTCTCTTCGCCAAGCCACCAGGTGTTCAAGTCGAGCAGGTGCACGGCTCCCGAATCCTACACTACATCGACAGCACATCAAACTCCCGCAGTATGGCCTCATGGAGTGAACCCCAGGCTCAGGTCCTCAGCCACCGCCGCAAGGTGCCCGCTGGCATCGATAGCCACCTCACCGAGAAGAAGCCAACCGTACACAATCCTGGAAAAAATGCTGCAGAATCACAAAACCAACGCAGGGAGCTTTGGCTTCTCCAAAACCGACAACCCTGAGGCGCGGGAGCTGAAAGGTGTGGATCCAGCCTAAAGCTCTGTAGCAAGCCTAGAAAACCCCCAAAAAACCGGTGGCTGCTGCCCGCGAACTGAAAACTCGTTGAAAGGCGAACCCTATTGCAGAGGTGAATCCAGAAGTTAGCAAGTCTAAAGCGCTGACAGAGAAGCGGCCTTGTTCTTTACGCGAAAAACAAAGCTTCCCGAACCGAAGATGCTAAGGTCTGGGAACCCAATCTGGCAAGTCTCGGCCCTGAAAGCATTGCCGTGGATGCCAAGACCCTGATAGAGGACTGACACTGGCCCAGGACCTAAAGGAATAACTGTTGGTCTAAGAGTCTAAGAGCATGCAACAAGCGCAAAGCTCAGAATCCGGAAAGGAAAGTAGCTTCCCTCACACCCGAAACCCTGGGAGTGCCCCCCCTCCACAGAAGAGACTCGCTCTGCAAAAGCGTTCCGATCCAGCCGCATGACACACAACTGGTTGAATTTGCCAACACGGGCTCGGTTTTCCCAAGAGAGCATCCGCGGGCGGACCCTTCCCGTATCACTCGCCTGATTGATGTCATCCTTCGCAAGCGATGTGACCTTGTCGGCAACCTGCAATCGAGAACAAGCGTTCTTCAGGGACAAGTTCGCAGCCTCGGCAGCAAACCCCACTTGTCTTTACAAGGCTGTCTCACAAGGCTCGATCTTGCAGCTTTCAGAAACTTCGGACCCCCACGCATGTGATTTCGAATCATGGCGCAAGCGTCTTTGCCTGGAGGACGACTTTCTCGCTTCGCAGGTCGAAGCCATACACAGCTTGTCCCACGGCGGCCAACAGCAGGTGCTCCTTGTCAGAGACGGGAGACGACGGGAAGGTCTTGGTACAGACCCCGAATTGGAAAAAGGCAGCAGCGACGGTGTTTGTTGGCTGCCAACCTTTGCCCCGATCGAACCCGTGCATGGCCAACTGCACAGACACAGGTTGATTGCAAAGCAACTCGATCCCTTCAAACTCGAGCCTTCAGAGAATCCCAATCTTAGGAACAGCCAAGGGGTGTGATGCCGATGGTCCCTCGCAGAAGAAATCGCCACACTGGAAACCTGCGATGCATGTGGACTTGAGCCATCAAAGTAAGCGTGCACAACCACCATCCCTCCGATGTTCAGCTGCATGACTTTCAAGCAAGCTTGTGCTTCAGTCAAAAGCATGTTGGTAGCAACATTAGGTTAACAAAGCAGTCCGTGTTTGCGGAAGCACTTCATGCGGAAACGCTGGTAACAGCATGTTGGCATGCGACCAAGTGGGACATCTGATGAATGCCGACAGAGACAAGAAGAATTCACGCGCCTACTGTGCTGGAAACTTTCGTCTTGCTTGCCAGGAACAGCAGACACGAAACAGTCAGCGTGTTGAGCACCTCGCCCGGCAAGACCGCCGCTCGGACGGAGCGCCGTGATCCCTCGCAGCGCAGATCCTGCGATCACAGGGCTTCCGCGCCTCTTGAAGGCTCGGCTCCCTCTGAGGTCCGGTCCCAGAGGCGACAGGTGCTGTCAGCCCCGCCGGAAGCAAGGCGCGAGGCATCTGCACAGAGGCAAAGCACCGCATCCTGCAAACAGCGGCCAGCGAGGCCAGCGAGGCCAGCGGCCCAGAGTCTAAAGACGTGGACCTACCGGCTACCGTGGCTACAGCTGTGCTGTGCAATGCTGTGTGTGAGCATTCTGCAGCTGTGCGCGCCTTGTGCCCCTTCAATTGTGCTCGTCGCAGGCGCGGTGGCTGTGGCTCAGCTGCAACCGCATAGCCAGCCATGTGCGCCGAACATTCAGTCAGGCATTGCGGCTATAGGCGATCCTGTTTGCCAGATCTGAGACCCTCTCGTCGAACGTACAAGCTCTCACACAACAACCCAGCACAATAAAGAAGCCCAACGTTCATTGCACTCTTTGCCAGTAACAAGAACCGCTCCTCTGAATATGTTTCAATGCAAAGATCGGCCCATTTATCTACGGCGACAGCATCTTAGTGCTTACATCTTCGGTGGAGACATGTTGCTGATGCGGTTTCGCTCACACGAAAATACGAGGGGCAAGGCACGATGTGCCAAAGCAGCGAGGCCTTGAGGGAAGGAGCACAAAAGGCTGCTCTGAACCCATGACCAGAATAGGAATAGTGTATAAACATCCGCGTGCTCTCGAGAATAGACCTGCATGTCGAATGTGTGCATTGTGCTGAGACATGTGGTAACTTGTGCTACCTACACTTGATACGCTTGGAATGCGGGCCAGGAACTGCTTCTGAGCTTCAGCTCAACAGTGCAGCACTTGCAAGTGTGACATGAGGCTGCCAAGACTAGGCCAAATTTCAACTACTTATCGCGGCACTTGGCACTGGCAGGTGATAGCTAGCGTGTGGCGAATCTAGGCAGCAGTCGCTAGTTCACGATGGTACATGTTCGAACGAGTTGGTCACGAGCTTTGCTGGGCCTCGTGTCAAGGCTCACGGTGGACGGAGCTGCCAGATGCCTGTCAAAGACATGTCACCATGGTCTGAGGTGGTGCTAAAGGTCTACCTGGCACCCTCCACATCAGAGAATTTCTGGGCTGGGTTGGGTGCATCAGCGCATCCGATGCGTCAAGTCTTCTTGTAGCTTTAGACAAACTAGTGTATTGTTCTCTGCTGTGTCGTAGCGACGTTTTCCGTTGCAAACTGGCATGCAACATCCGCCAATGTGCTGCGAGGAAAACCTCAATCTAGATACTTCCAGAATGGAAAGAGTGACTTGGCCTGCTGCTCCACACATGACTTTGCTTCTAAGGTTGTTGACTGAGGCCCACCCTGTGCAGCATCATCCTGTCAGAAATGTGTACCCATGTCGGTCTTTGCAAGGCCTGTCTTGGCAAGCGATGGCGCAAGTGTGCATTCGTTCGAGGATGTCGTTGACTTTTCGGATGTCGAGAGTTGTGGCCACGAACCCCAGCTGCACCGTTGCTGGCTAGCTCGCGTGGTCGACATCGGTACAAGAAGCCTGATGCATGGAGGGTGGCCGAGCTTCTGCACAAGCAGGCGCTCGGTTGCAGTTGCGAGTGTCCCTGTAGTGAGTAACAGTAAGCCAGAATGGGCTTGCTTCCGGCAGAAGTTGGAGTCCGTCTGCATCCAAACCCGTACTCAAGGAAAGTATGTCGCGCTTTCTAATACTGACAATCAGCTCTGCTACAGGCGATTGCAACCGGCAGAAAGACCCCTCCAGCCCAACTTCCAAAGCCCATACCGTGAATCTATTTTAGGACTCGTTTGATGCAGAGGCTCCCGGCGTGAGTGCATTGGTTTCTCTTCCCATGGGATGTGACTGGATTTGTGGGTTCTGGGCAAAAGGGGTCGAAAACGAAAATCCCGCCCGATTTTGGATGGGAGAGACATTGGGGCATCGATTTTTGTCTCAGCGGCGACCCCCTGGTGCGCTTGAACCTCAAAATTTCCCGAAGGTCATGGCGCAGTACCCCATGTCCGCACTGTCGGCTTCACTTGTCACGCGATTCACACTTCCGGCCTAGCTGCGGACCACGAAAGGCATCCGGGAGGGACGGCCGTCCTTTGCCCTGCATCGAGCTGCTGGCTGAAAGCTTCGAAGAAGTGTGTGGCTTCAGATGTCAACCACGTTCTGTCCCGATTGCCCGAACTGCCGCTCCGCATGCCGTCGATGGGTGCCTCTGGTAGCGTTCGAACTCGGCCAGCTGGGCGCGCAGGTCCCCCAGTTGCAAGTCAACGCTGGGCATGTCTTCGATGCCTGCTCGAATGCAAGCTTTGCCGACCATGCGGTGGCCTTCGGATCAGACAAAGTCAAGCCGCTTGCGGGCCATAGCTGGTGCCGGCGGCCATAGATCGTGAGCAACTCCTGCAAGGGACAGGGCGGCTTCTATTGCCTGCTTTCCTCAGGGCTGCACGAGACCTGGTTCAAGGTGCTCGATGATGTTTCATGAACGATGTGAAATTGCAAAACGACTTGAGACCTCCAGGAGCACTTCGTTGGGCACCTCAAAGACACATCGAGGAACACTTGCGGACTAACGCGAGGTGCTGAATCTCTGGTCCCGCCTCTGTCTTTCGAGGCCGCTGAGCCAAGCGGTCAAGGCAACATCGGGTTGGCCGATCCAAAGGTGCCCAGCGATCCTCCGGAGGCTCGCGCCGCCCGCTCTGTGACTCGACTTAAGTTGGAGCCAAGAGGCGATATCGAGACAACCACAACTGAAGATGGGTGTCGACCTTAGGAAGAGTTTGCAGTATGCCGCTATGTTGAAGGTCTGCAAATTCAACAAGCTATCGTTCATGTGGTCCTAACAGAACGTGCGAGAATGCATGGACAAATCTTATTTTCCACTTCTTCCCGTTGCGTTGGTGCAGAATGGTCACGAGATGCCCTCTCTAACTGGAAAGGCTTCACAGGAGAAGCGCGAACGAACTAGACCCCCTCGGCGGACTTCGAAACCAGGAGCGCCGCAGACAGCAGCCCGAAAAGTGGGGCACTGTCGCCGAGCCCCAGCAAGCTTGGGGAGCTCAGGCCGCGCCTCCTCGAACTTTTGTCGCCCACCTGCTGCACACCCGGCACAGCCGGAGCACTTTGTGAGACTCTGCCTGAGTGTTGTTCATGCAACACGCTGTGTGCCCGCCAAGGAGCTGGCAAGGGACCAGCAAAGACAACATTTGCAAGAGCTACCAGCCAGAACATCGATGTAAGATTGACCGACGAGCACGCAGGTCGGCAGGAAAGGCCACAGGCGGCACCCTCGCCAATGCGAACACCGAAGCCGGAGCCACCTCCTCGACCTGCGACTTCCGTGTCGCGTGACGAAAGCATGAGAGCGGCGGTGCCACGCCACATTTTCCATCTTAAGTTCATGAAGCACATTTAAAGCTTCATTTTGGCATGGCCCGACTTGCCATGGTGCTGCCGAAAGCTGGCCGAAAGCAAGGAGGCTGATCAAGCGAACGACACACGCTGGCCGGGGTCGCCTGTTCTATGCAGAAAAGTCATCCGCAGTTTGCGCCGTGTATAGCAAGACGGCGTGCGAAGTGTGTAATTGCTCGTGACTCGCCGCCGCCGCTCGCCGAGCGGACCCGGGAGTTTCAGTCGATCCACGCGGAACGGTGTGCCGGAGTGCTCTGCTTTGCGATGCTCTTCTGCAAAGACTTCCCATCCCGCTCCATCACCCTTCAGAGACAAGTTGCAGAAGGTCTCGAACGATCTCTGCTGCGTAGACGCCTTTACCGACCTGAGCACAGCCAGTTGAGCTGGGAAGTGAGAAAAGTGGAGAAGTAGTCTTGAACGCGCATATGGCAAGTGATAAGTCCCGGTCCCCATGGCCATCAGCGGCTCCCAGAAGCTGCACCAGCTGTGGGAATCGCACGGGCCCTGGCAGACTTTCTGTTTACGAGCCCTGGAACCCGACCAGGAAGCGCTGACGGATGGGAACCCGAATGCCGAGGCTTCAGGCTCACCAAGGCTCAGCAAACCCTCCTAAAGCATTCCACACCAGTAGGCGAATGCTAGCACCAGGAGACAAATGCCGATCGCACCTTGATCCACAACGATGTCTGCCACCGCGTCAGCCTTTTCAAAAAGACTTCCTGAGCAAATCGTCGTCAGCATCAGGTCTCAGAAACGAGCTGCGTGTGGCCTGAACACACCGCCTGCACATATCTCTTCATGTAGGGCAACTGAGTTCGCCTGCCCTGGAGAATCCCTATACTTTGCCCATTGACTTGCGGAGCTTCGAAAGGCTTTGCCGTTCTCGTTGAGCACCTGCAAGAAGCCGCTGCTAACCTCGGCGCAATCCGCGGTGACCCTCAGGCCATGGTTCGAGCGGTAGAGTCGACGCCAAGGCACGATGACCAGCCCCGCGTCTGTCACCAGAGACCTTTGCTAGACCAGAACCTCTGACACACTGAATGCAGAGCACCGTTCAGGCGGGCAGCTTCATCATCCTCAGTTCAGCGCATAGCTCTGGTCTTGCAAAGATGAGAGAGCTCCTGTGCCGTTTTTTCAAGACCTGACCACAGGTTCCTCGCGGCCTCACCTCGAGACCTCGCACCAATTCTGTCGAGAGTCTGCTGCGTGTGGCGGGGATGAAGTTTTAAAGCCACAGAGAGATGCTTGCTTGCCTTCCAGAAGCTGGTGCGCAGCCGAACGCATGCAAAACTGCAATGATCTTGAGTGATGACCTGCCTCTCTATGGGTATATCAGGCTGCTCGCTCGGACATTACCAGGAAGTGCTGTGCATAGTCACGCCTTGCCCCTCATGGCTTAGATCAGCTCAGTTGGCCCTGTGTTGGTTGGTTCAAAAGGCTCTGCTCAGCTCGGCTTTGCGGCGATCTAAGCCTCTTGGAAACTGCGTCAGGTTGGACGACGAAATCACGTGGGATACGACTGTCGCCACACGTAATGTCCAGCTTCCTTCACCCATCTGGAAGCCTCTTCGCCCAGCCACGCATAGAGCTCTGCAGCATGGGCACGGCTGGCAGGTCCATAAGCATCACTGCCTTGCGACAGCGCCAGGCGTAACGGAAGTCGGCACCGGCTCCGGGGCTTCTTTCGCCCAAGCGGAGAAAAACTCACAAGTACTTGCTCAACTTCAAAATTGTAGCGAGGCACAGCTGTGGAATCCATTCTTCCAAAGGTCCAGTGCCACTGATACAGCCTGTCCACTTCGCAGCACAATGTCTGCCAATCAGGGGCTTGTGCAAAGAAATGCCTTCGCGCTAAGCTCCTCCGGCGTCGCATCTCCGGCCACAATGCCGGCACGATTGATGAAGTTCACTGAGCCAAAACGCCTGGCAGGGAAGTATCGTCGTCTGCAAAAGTGAGGCAGCTCATGTAATGTTCCACGAAGGCCTCCACAAACCGAGACTGAGCACATACTCGCGGACCACTGCGCACTTCTGCTGCCGCGACGTGCTCGAGTGCCATTCTGGGGTTGGGCGATCCGCATCCGATTGGAGCACGGGCTGTTAATTTCGATAGTTTGAGGGAGGATTGCTTTCTGTCGACAGTTCGTTCCCGTTTCTAGTGCGCAGGGTTTACCGGAATCTAGCTCGGAGGCAACAACGATGAAAGGTGCACTGTCTTTTCTGGCATCACTCAAAACCGTCGATCAAAGACATGGCACAGGAACCAGCAAGGGAGATGTGTTTAGAGCCCGTGCTTGACATCAGATGAGTGTCTGTCATCCAAGGGCAGCAGAAGCCGACGAATGAGCATGCTGGTGCGGTCGTGCTCCTGAGTTGCTGCGACTCTTTCGGCAAGTTCCAAACCGAAGTAACACCCTGTTCTTCGAACCCTCACGGCCTATTGGCTGGTTGTCCCATTAACGAATCCGAGAGTCCTTCTTGACGTTCCTGCCAGCACTGGGGGTTTCCACACTTCCACGCGTCTTATGTGATTCGATTTCTGAGCTTCTGCCGGGAACATCTTCAAGAAGCAACATGAACTGGACGAACTTCGGAACTGAGACGGATCGACAGGCCGGGGCCTGACGCGAAGGTGTCTCAGTACCCTGTCGTCCGTCCAGGGATACGGCTGCGAAGACTCCTTGCATGTGCCGCTCGACTTTCGGAAAACTGCCAACCCCACATTTCGGACATGAAGACATGCAAATGATCTCCAATGGCAATATTTTCACCCTGACCTTTTTGATCTGGAGTTCCACAGTGGTTCAACAGCATAGCGGCATCAACTTCGGGTGGTGGGGGTCAACCTTGTGCATGCAGCACAATGCAAACCATGAGTTGCGCACAAGTCTGTTCAAGTGCTGGAAAGTTTTTGTGGCATCGCATTGCTCCAGAAGCTTTTGAAACTGGGCAGCCACAAAGTTTCCATAGACGTTGTATGCGCTGCTGAGTGTGCCGTGCCGAGAAGAGAACATCATATTACCATCGTACCCAGTGTCACGCCCAGCACGAGTCAGTCGACATCTCTAAACTTGTGCCGGCAGGTTGTGTTGATTCTTCCATAATCCTGTTCCAACATGCCAAACTCGGTGCAAATGAAGAGGTGGCTTTGTTTAACCCCTCATTATCCTTGCCATGCCTTTGCAGCTTGCGTGCAATCGGGTCGGCCACTTATGTGTGTGTTACAAGCGCTGACCTGCACCAAGGGTAACTACAGTACCGTGCATTCACCCTTTTTCGTGCACGTTCGTTTAGTGCTTGACTGCACTTACCTCTCGCTGTTACGGTTCTGCGCAGTAGCCAAGCGATGAAGCATGCGGCTTGGCACCATGAAGAGGTCGGTTTGCTATGCGTCGGCTCGCGCATGCCGCACCGAGGAGCTGCAAGTAACTGCCCCGCCCCCCGCCGACTGCTTAAGGAACCCTCGTGAACGAAAACTGGAAATTCCGTCAACAAAGGTCGAATCATGGACTCTTCAGTATGTGTTGATACGCCCTTGCTAACACTTCTTTGGGGGGAAGGGTTTACTAAATAAAGCTGCAACAAGTGGAACAAATAGAGAGTTCTGCTGGCTGTCTTCCCGCCACACACAGTCAGCTTGAGATTTTGGCTGGAACTTTCCGAACCTACTCTACCGCTCAGGCTTCTGTTCAAAACAAACCTGTGGGCTTAGCGTCATCCAAGAGTCGCGTCTCAGTCGAATGCGCTCTCGTTCTCGCATGAAGAGGAAGAAGCCTTAGAAAGCGAAAGTCGAAAGTGGCATTCGTGAAGCAGGCAGAACATGCCTGAAAGCAGCAACCATGGCCGTAAGAAGTCGTAGCCTTGTGCCGTCATGGAACCGTCCACGGTGGCAGGAAAGCCGAAGTCAACCTGGAGTGCCTTGAGGCTCAGGGCTTCTGCGAGCTTCCGCAGCCTCCGAAGTTCTTCCAAGTTCTCTTCGCTGAGGTTGGGTCTGGGCCAGGCTGTGGGACATCTCCCTTCTGTGCCACCTCCAGTCAATGCAGCTGGTTTCTGATCTTTCGCCACGGGTCATCGGCCTCTTCAGGCTCGGGAGCCTTGCTTCCCTTGGCAACCTGCACCACGAGCAAAGACAATCCAGTTTCCATGGCAAAAAGATCGAGGTCCCGACGACAGATGTTGCTTCTGGCCCCTCCTGCAATCAAGTGCCAACTAGAGGTGTAGGACTTCACCCCAAGACACATGGAACTGGTCCAAACGACGGAAGTCTCTGAAGAGCTTACACTCCAACCGTGAGTGGAAAGGGTGTGTAGCATTCTGATCGGACTACAGTTGCATCCACACCTTGTCCTTCTTGTCTTTGTCCTTCTTGTCCTTGTGCTTCTCTTTGCGCTCCTGCGAGATTTCCGGCCCTGCTGGCGACCGGCACCAGACCCCTGCGAGACCCTGCAAAAGTCACACTCCGAGCCTTGGGCAACTCCGAACGTCACTGCCACATGACACAGCCCTTCCATCCCACACTTCAATCCCAGCCCGTGATACAACTCAGTACCAAACCATGAGCACACTTCTCTCGCGAATGAAGGACAAGCGACTGGGAGTAAGCACAGCTCGTTTCTGCGAACGCAGCAAATCTCAGCATGCAGAAATTCTTGCCGTCGACTTTCACTGGTGCAACACAGGGCAGTGCTGCTGGGATGATGTTTTTACAAGCAGCAGGATAACGCGCAGAAATACCGCAGGAGTCATCTGCAGTCATGATGGAGCTCTGGTCGATGATGTAGTCCTGCTGATCTGCTGGCAACAATGTGGGTACATCGATGGCTCTCAGCTTGTGGAGAGCTGCGCGACTTCGCTGCCACTGCTGGGCACGAAGACAGAAGTCCAGGCAAACATGTTCAAGCGTATCCGCAGCTCACCGTCGAGCAGGACAATAACCCGGTTACTTGTCTCACAAACAAAACCATACACTGATGCTTCAATGGGTTGTACTCGTCTGCACACTTGACATCTCGGGTTCGTCCAGACGTTCGTAGCACGGCTGCTTGCAAGTGAGACATGACAGCTTAAACAATCCGTGGAATCTTGGCGCACTCCTGTTAAACAGTCTCGCGCTCATGTCGAAAGCAGCATACCATAGGCTTGGTTTGCAGTCTCCACATTCCGGCCCCATGCTGCTGCACTAATACCCTGGAGTAATTCTGAGTGTTGTGGTTGGTGGTTTTTCCTGACAGTACAAAGACTGCACACCTCCTGCATAGCCTGCCAACTGCAAGTCAGGACAGGACCCCTCCCTTCTCACATAATGCGAACATTCGAGATGACGATCTTAGCACATGTATGCAGCTCTGCGCAGCTTACCAACGCAGGACCTGAAGGTGCGTGAGGCACGCTGCGCCTTCGTTACTGTGTTGCAAGCTTTTCTCGAACACGAACACGCTGGAACACTTTCCGGTCACGAGGCATGCTTTTTGTCGCCAGATTACATCGAAGGATGTGGTATTATCCTGCGAGGGGTTTCTAATATGTAGTACCTTCATTGTGGCTATTCCCTTTTGAGCTCTTTGCTGGATTGCGGGCTCTTCTTCTTGAAGGATCTAGCATTCGGCTTGAATAACTGATTCACATGTTTCCCGTTGGGAATCTTCGGGAATGTGGCACCATTGAAGGGAATTTGGAACCAAACAGCCGTAGCGGGTGAACTATGAAGAACCATTTGCCTAAGCACCAACCACTAACAGCATCGAAATCCCGTGTAGAACTGTGACGCAAACGTGTCCTACGTAACGACCAGGTTTCCTTGCTGGTGTGTTCCTGGGTCCCGCACAGAACCGTCGGAGCTGCCGAAGGCGGCAGTCCTCCATGCACTCCACTCCACTCGCGTGCCACCATGCATCATGCACATGCCTATGCCCCTCAGGTACCCCAATGACGCACCAATGAGGCTTGTTCTCAAGCTCAGCTTGGACCGACTGATCACTGATCCTATCCACACAGGCCTTCCGTCTGAACTGACCGAGGCAGAGTAGAAGGCACGGCTGTAGCCTTCCAGGGAGCTGAGAATCCTGAGCAACAGCAGCTCTGCGCGTGCCACATTTTGGTTGGCTGCTGCCCAAGTCCAAGTGACCGCAACGGACCCCCGTTCTTTGGCCGTTCGAAGATCCGCGCCTGACGCACCCGATGTCGGCTTCATTCTCTCAGGTCGTGCGCAGAATCATTGCACGAGCGGCTATGCCGTTAGATGCACATCTCGCAACCTGAAATCTACAATGCTGCACTCTGCCAAATTAGCAGGTGGCATTGCAGCTTTGCTTACCGGCACGGACCACCGAGTGGGAAAACTCTCCAGTCAGTGTCGTGCGCGTTCCATCAAGTCACCAGGACTTGGCACGGCCTGATTCTCCTTCTCACCGGCAGCTGCAATTGTTGTGTTGTCAAAGCTATCCCACCTTAGCAAAGCTCCAGCATCGACATGTCTACTGCACGGAAGCCCCCCTCATCTCGCAAGTTTTGGCCATGCCATGGAAATCTCCAAAGGCAACTGGTGCCTGGAGGCCTACAGAGGGTTTAGGCTTCGGACCCAGCTTGGAAGACCATGCACGACGGCTGGGCAGCCTCAGTGCTGATCTTTTCCGAGCACTCAAGCGACTGGCAAAGACAAGAACTGGTCTCAGCAGGCCTTGTCCGAGGCCTCGCCAGACCTTCCGCGCCAGGCAAGAACAGATTCAACTGGCCAGGTACACGAAGGTGTACTGCCTTCTGCTTCTAGAACCATGGGGTGTGCTACCCTGCTCGCCAAACCGGACCGTGACCCATGCTCGAGGACCCTTTTCGCAGCTGTGGCGCAGACCACTGGTATGTTTGCACTGCAGTCATGGTGAGCCCAGCCTGCAGCAGATGCTCGTCTATCATGTTCAAAAACTTGCACATGGCCAAACGGGAGATGTCTCGACAGATGCGCTCCAGATCGACTGCAAGGTCAGCGATGGCAAAAAGTGCTGGATGACACGACATGGAGAACCGCTATCTCCAAAGAGTCTAAGAGGCTTCTAGGCTTCTGGAAACTGTGGTGCAAAGGAAGGGTGCGGTAGCTGGCCCGGCCTTTTTCTCTGACTCGTCTGCCTGCTTCAGCAGACGGAGGTCGAAGAGCTGAAGTGGGTTCAAGCTGCGGTGGCTTCCTCAGGGAGACTCTTGGTCTAGGCATCAGCATGTCTTCAAGGCTTCAATCGACACTCGAAGTCAGCCAAGGACAGCATACGCTCCTGCCAGAACGGTGTTGCCATCGCGCGAGATGTCTAAGGAGTCGCCACCTGAGCAACCGGCCGTGAGTTCAACTCCTAAGGAAAACAACATCAAGATTCACAGTGTCTGAATCGAAAGCGTCCTTGTGCCAAGTTGCTCAGCTCCACCCCGGATATCCACGCCGATGGCGCTTTGGGGGTGCGAAGGTCCCACAGGAGGACACTCCTTCAAGGAATGTCCACGGCTTTTGGGAGCTCCATAACTGTTCTGCAAAGGGCGCCCTGGGTGGCTGGGTCGCGGCTCCGCTCCTGTCCATTCCACCGGACAAGAAGAGGTGTTGATGCTCTGGCACTGACCGAAGACCTCACTTTGAAACAAAGGGAGGGCCCAGCACTTTGCTGGCTGACGCTCGAGATTCGCACAAGCCTACTTCATGCTGAGATGAACGGCCGAGCATGGGAATGTGCATGCCGGAGTGACTACACAGTATGCGAATGTTGTAGCTGCTGGGTGCTCAATTCCTACGCATCTTCGCTTCGGTCGCGGCTTCTATCACAACAGGAAGAGGCAAGCGGGACCCAGCAGGCCGGCGGTTGTTCCATCATCCTGCATTTTCTATCGAACACACCACTGCTTAATGGCTTAATGTATCTGGAAGGTTGCATAAACCAGTCCTATTTCTTTGAATTCGCCGAGAGACTCATGATCTTCAGGCTGTGGCGGCAAGGCTTGTCTCCTTCGGGAAACAATTGGTTTGCACTGGTCTCAGATGGGCACAGCTGGAACTCTGGAGCACAGTTGCGCCTACCATGGCATCCTTTGAACCAAGGCAGAGCTCTTCCTGCCCAGACGGAAGCCAGACTAGACGCCACGGGCACTCGCCCAAATCTTACCGTAGCACCTTCATGTCACGACCTTTGCTCGACTTCAGCCTTGGCAACGGAGAGTCAGTTCTTGGAGAGGCGGACACTCGGTTTTCGCTACACCTTCCCACCCACTCGTGCCATTATGGCAAAACTCCTCGACTTCAACCACGGGTTGTCTCGCTGTCTGAGCTTGGGACTGCTCGACGTCGTACACTTTGACGACACGCTCCTGCCACATTCTGCGTGTGTTCGTCTCGCCCCAAGCTGCTCAAAAGAAAGTGAAGAAGTTCAAATTTTTGCGTCACTGCGTGGAAAGACACTGAGAGTCGATTACATCATGAGGCGTGGTCGTTCTCGAAGGCAACCACAGCGCCGCGAGTGCGCACGCCGACAGTCAAAAAGAAGCAATACATGAACCCGCGTCACGGGAGCGAAAAGTACAGAAAGAGACAATGACGTCGTGCCTGCCCACCGACCAGCAACTTGTCTCCGCCCTGTTCAAAGTGCATGTGAGCTCGGAGCATGGACTTTTTTGAGTACACGGGCGAATTGAGAACTGGCTCGCCTCGCTGAAGGACAGCGCCCCCAGCTCGGACTCTCCAGGCCTCGTTGCAGTGCTTGCCTTTGTCACGACCATCTGTAGATGTGTCGTAAAGCTTTGGCGCCCAGCATCTCCGCCAGAATCTTCACGCCACCGCCGCGTGTCACCTCCCAGAAGCCAACAGTACCTTCATCAAAGGCTTCTTGCAGCTGCCAGTCAAGATTTAAGATGTTGATCCTCAGTTCACACTCTTTAGGGCCCGTGGCACGTTGACATGCATCACATGTCGCATTGCCTTCGTCGCCTCACTCAGCCCTACTGCCGGCATATCACCATCATCATCACCCAACTGGAATCCAAAATATATTGCCCAACCGTCGGTGAGCCAATACTTCGACCTAATTCTTTGATACGAGTATCTCCTCTATGTTGAGATCCACGACCATGTGCCTGGCAGTGGGACATGCTCGACTTACCTTCATGCCACTGATTCAGACCCTTCCACAACTCCAGAAGTTTGAACAAGCTGCCGGCTGTGTCGACGGTAGCGACAATGTTGGCTGTGCGTCCTGGTATGTGCACGGGAAGGGGAGCGCGGAGAACGTTTTTTTGGTGTGTGGACAAGGCAAACACGCAAGAGCTGTGAAACTCCAGTTGCAGAATGCAAGTCATGTTTAGCGCATCTTCATAGCAAACCGCTTGAAGAGGAACGACGAGCATGGCGGCCGCAACACTCCGGACACCAG